GTTGCAACGGCTCCTTCCTACATTCTGTATTTTTAGCTATTTGCTTTGGTTTTTCTTCTATCTTTTAATATTTTAATTTCATACAGCTGTACCACATTTGTGCGGGAACAGTGGAGATGCAGATGGCGGTGTTTATGTCTGTTCTTTGCTCTTTTTTGCGCCGTGGAGCCGTGGAGCCGTGGAGCCGTGGCTCTGTTGTTTTACGCTAGTGAACAGCTGTTTATCCATATTAACTAATTACACTTTATTTTTCTCCACTTCCTTCTGAGTGTAAAGCGGTGGCTCCAGGATGGATTTTGGTGAAGCTCCGGCCATTTCCGAGGAGTTGCTGAAGAAGAGTGTGGCTGAGCAATTGGATCAATTGTCAACCAACAACCACCTCTGCTTCCCCGATCCCGAGGACATCCACTTCAACGAAATCCAGGAATTGTGTCTGGGTTACAATAGTGAGACAAATCTTAAAATGACCGGCTGGTGTGTGAATGTGTGTTGAGTTTAGTTATGTGAGAGGCTGTTTGTTTACAGAGATCGAGATGATTGAGAACTTGTGGGATTTCACGTCTTTGAAAAAGCTCAATTTGAGTTGCAACCGCATAAGGAAGATTCAAGGCCTGGACATGCTGACTAATCTGACAGATCTTAGTAAGACAAAGCTTCATTTTTATATTCTTCTCACATTTTCTCCTCATAACTGTGACGGTTGTGCCAAAGATATGAACAAAAAAAATAAGATCATGTGTGTTTTAGAGCTTTCCTTCAACAACATCAAGAACATTGAGGGTCTGGAGAAGCTGCGGAAGCTTCAAGTGCTGGAGTTGTCCAATAACCAAATCTCTGTCATCGAAAATATTGATGCACTTGAAGATCTCTCTCTGTTTCTGATGTTAAACAACCGCATCAGAGATCTGGACAATGTGAGGCAATCATCTTGCTCAAAGTAAATGTAGCATACTGCGATTGTATGTCAAGGCCAATAAATCAATCAATTCTGTTAGCTAAAGTCGATCTAATGCTTTTCAAAGGTGCTGCAGCTCAAGAAGTTCAGAAAGCTGTTCACACTTTGCTTGTCTGGAAACCCTGTCTCTGAACAAGAGAACTACAAAGTTCTCATTGCTGCCCACATGCCCAACCTGAAGTACCTCGACTACAACGTCATTGACAAAACCACAGTAAGTGTTCTGACACAAACCTGAGTATCACACCACAGTGGTCATATCATAAGTTTAGAGCTCTTTCCTTTTGAAAGCTTTTTTGATCTGTCATGATAAGCCCCTATTTTTTAAGTTTTCATGGGACTTTATAGTTTGTCTTGTTAATACTGTATGATCAAATGTCTGTGTGTGTGCAGAGAGATGAAGCATCTATCATATACCAAGATGTTGCTCAGCGTATGAAAGATCTACAGCTGGCGACACAAAAAGCTGAAGAGGCTCAGAGACGCCAGGAGGCTGAACTGAAACTTCACAGAGTAACACAAAGCTCATGTTTGTTGATGCATTCGTTGAGGTGTGAACATGCTGTGTGTCACTTACGTTTTTCTTTCTTACAGGATGCCTTTGTGGAGTCCCTTAATGGGCCGTACTTGTTTATGAGTATGTTTCAGCATGATCCAGAGGCAGAAACACTGCGCTGCATTCCAGGAATAGCTTCACTCCTCCAAACATATCCTGAGTTGTCCTGGCTTTCTAATCCGTGCAGGTGTGTTACTGGAAACATACAATAAAATCGTTCCTTGAATTCCTTGACCTTGCACTTACATTCCAGCACCAAACGGTGGAGCTCTGTGTCCAGTTGTTTGAAATGGGCCTGGCAGAGCACAAACGAAGGGAGGCAGAGGTGAAGTCTTTCCAAAGCGGCCAGGAGAAGATTTATGAAGATTCCCAGATGAAAGCCACACAGATGATGGACAAGTTTGATGATCAACACTACGAGGCAAGCTGGGACCATGTTGTACACAGATGTAGTTGATGCGGCGTCAGTAGGCAGCATTAGATTATCTCTTGTGTGTTCCTCTTTATAGCGGAGAGCAGAGTTTCAACGGCTATCCGCTCCGGACGCGCTGAAGGTCAAGGCAAACCAAAGCACTGAAATCGACCGGCTCCGCAAAGGCTTCATGAGACTGGAGTTGAAGGTCACGCGCCAGCTGGAGGTAAGAGGTGCATGTGTTTGTGTGAGTGCACCTTGTGAAGCATCTGATCTACACAAAACATCAAAGTTTATCCTTTAAAAAAAATGTGTCTGTAGTTGAATTTAAGCCATTTCTTATGCTACTGTGTAAAGATTATTCAAGACTGTGTTGAGGATTTCCTTCACATGTCAAAAGCTGTGACGCTGCGCTTTAGCTTTACGTTTACTCAAAGTGATGCTTCCTGTTTGTTTCAGGACAACATCAAAAAGTTGGACCAGAGCCTCTCAGACATGGTTTACCACTTCAGAAAAACCGCGCTCGGCATATATCCTTTTTCCATATGCTGAGTCAGTGGAGCAGCTCTGAGGCATTTGCAGTAACTCTGTGCTATATTTCTATATTTAACATGTTTTTGATGTATCTTGATGCAATGTTAGACCAACCAGAGTATCACACCAAAGCTGCCTTTACTTGTGCATAAGATTGTACCATTTTTGAACTTCTTCCCTTTCTGTTACTTAATTTGAATGAGGTCACGTTTAAATCCCAGGGCAGCTGTGTGCTCATCTTGCCTACATAGCCTCTTTGACAGAATCATACATTTGCTCAGCTTCGGGATCTGGAGGATAACTACTATCAGAAAGTGAAAGAAATTGCTGTTGCAACTGTGGAGAAAGTGGCCAAAGGGAACCTGGAGGAAGACCTGCCAAGGGAGGCTGTAAAGGTCAGTGTTACATCTTTTAGACCAAATTAACTGTGCAAAATTACATTATTGCTACTGTACAATTACACAGACTGTCACGGCCTTAGAATGTAAGCCAAAGGAAGACAAATTTATTCCTGAAAAAAACATGTCAGCAACAAGACAGTTAACAGGATTTATCTGAGACATGAAGCACAAGACAATATACAAACACACACACACACACACACACACACACACACACACACAAATATCTGCAAGGACTTCTTTCTCAATTCTGCAATTTTCAGTTCAAGAGATTATGGAACACGACTGAAGGCTACGGCCACAAGTTTTTAAAAAGTGAAAAAAGTAAAGCAATTAATCTCCCTCCCAAAGAAAAAAAGGTTGTGTACGGTCTAGCGTGTTCACTCTGTCATAGCATTACAGCCTGCAGGTCAGACGAGGTGAAAACGTGTTTAATTAACAGTATCAGTGCTTCATTCTTGCACTCCTCTGTTTTCTATGTGTAGCTGTTTACAGAGAAAGACACGGTGATGGATGCACTGGCCACCGGCCACGATAACCACCTGCTCAAGATCAATGACCGAGAGACTCAGTTGGTTACGGGTGTCAGTGGCTGGAAAGTGAACCTCATTAAAGAGGTAGAGAACTGACACTACACTTAAACAATCACATGAGTGTAAATATGGACACGGAGCTTCTCCTGTTTGTCTCACAGTGTTGTTCTAATTTGCTGTTTCTCTTTATGGGTTATTACAGAATCAAGACAAAGAACTCAAACTGAACCACCTGCGCAACTTAGACACACTGCGACTTGTTGAATATTTAAAGGAGCGGCTGGAGTCGTGGCAGAAACAGTAGTATGTTCCCCAAAAATATTTGTTTATGTAGTTTCACAGCCTGACTAAACAAAGAAGGCAAATTTCACTGTGTTCAAGAATGTTTATGCTTTATAATTGTATTTACTTGTAATATATGCCAGAAATTTGTATTAACATTTTAAATGAAAAAAGTATTCTCGTTAAAGTAAGTGTTGCATGTATTCTAGTCACATGACACAGTGTATTTATAAAGAAAAATGTAGTTTATGTTATTATATTTGATGTCTGGGGTAGAAACTGGAGATACTCTCTGTGTGGCTGTTATATTTGCGCAGGAGATGCAGCAATGAAATAATAAATAAATAAATAAATAAATAATACTTTATTTATCCCAGAAGGGAAATTCAATGTGTTGAATTATTAATTTTAGTGTTTCCACACTCTGCATTTCAAAATTAGGTTATGCTTTCTAAAATAGGCATCGAAACCACCAGTGGGAGAAGTGTTCAGATCCTTTACCTAAGTAACAGCACCAGTAAAGAATTGCAAAAATACTTCATGACATGTAAGACTCCTGCATCATAAAGTAACAGTCTATTAGTGTTAGCAGCAAAATGTCATTAAGTGTTAAAGCAAAAGTCTGGAGTCCTAGTTTATTCCCTCTGACTGAGATATTGTTCTTTATAACATCATTGGATTAGTCACACTGAAGCATGAGTGTGTCCGCAGCATGTTTCTGTTGTATTTGCTGCAGGGGGAGCTGGTTAAAAGTACTTTAGATGTAGTTTTATATACAGAGACACCAGATGATTCTGAGGGCTTGATGATTAATGGAAGAGGAAGGAAGAAAAAAAAAAGTTCTGATACATAAAGCTGCTTTCAGCTTTTAGACTTTGTCCTCTAATCTTTGGGGGGGTTTGTTTTGTTTGTGTGTTTGTTTGTTTTTTTGTTAAATGTGGGACAATTTGAATATTTGTTGAAATCAAGCCATGTGAGAAGTTTGGAAGGAAAAATCCCCATTTGGTCGAGCTGTTAACAACACTACACTACTGCTTCCTGTAAAATGCCAGAAAGGTTGGAAACCCCTGGATTATTATCTAACAATGTGTTTTATTTAAGAGCTTGTTATATTATCCACCATAAAAGTAATTACAGCTGTTAAGCAAATGCAGTGAAGCAAAAACACTTTTCAGCAACAAGGGAATAAAATGCTTTACATAAGGCATGAATTCATTCATCAGAATTTGAATCAGAGTAATGTGTTTAATTACTTTCATACAGTCTATGCTTTCACATCAACTTTGTCTTTCATCCACTGATGGCTGTGCTGCACGAAAATTGAATACAACTCCCAGAGTGACGTTCGGTGAGTTTATCCAATCAGCGTCTGGCTTCAGTCAGCTTCCAGCCAATGGCATTCAGGGAAGCTGGATTCTCCAATGAGACGTTGAAGGATCCCAGTTGAGCCGTCAGTTCGTGGACAGCTCACAAATTTGAGCAAAGTTTCGGACCGTGGAGGTTCGGCGCAGCTGGCAGACCCTCCTCTGTCAGGACCCCGTTCGGCTGAGGTGTGCTCGGTCACTACGTTCATGACGGTTGCTGACGGCGGCACTTTGGCGCTCATCATGCCTGTCCGAGCGGAGTGCTGCAGTACGACCGGCTCGGCCTGCCCATCCTCGGCCTCTCTTGTTCCCCCTGCCCCGATCAACACGTACCAGCCCGGGGTGGCCACGTCGCTGCTGTACAGCGGCTCGCAGTTTCGGGGCTACCAGAAGAGCAAAGGCAACTCGTACGACGTCGAGGTTGTCCTGCAGGTAAAACGTAGTTGAATATTAGTTTGTTTATTATCATATGCAACATATTTGTAGCCCAAATTGCTAACTTGCTAATTTACCTGACGTTAGCTGCTTTAGCTCCTGTTTTTTTTTTTTTTTCTGGTACCGTGCTAACACGCTGACCTAGTTTTGAGGTGACCGTGTTTCTGCTCTTGCATTTTGAATTCAGACCATTTTTCTTGGTCGTGAACGTTTTTTTTGTTTGTGTTTTAAACCTGTATTAGCTTAATGCAAACACGTTGGCATTTTGTGCAACAAGCTACTTTGACAGCAGTGTCAGCACACCTCCTACCAGAAAGAACAACACCTGCTTACCTGCACACTTACTGAGATTTAGCTCATTCATGCCTCTCTTGCTGCCAGTTTTATTTTTTATTTCATTTAAGTGACTAAGGAGAGCGTCGTTTGTGCACTTTGAAGCCAGAGACACAATTAAGTGTAGCTTACATGTGTTTGTCTTGGACAGCATGTGACTGTGGAGGACTCGTATTTGTGTGGATACCTGAAGATCAAAGGCCTGACTGAGGTAAGCCCTGGAAACTAGGTCAGGTCTAGTTAGACTGACCTTTATTCTTGTGAAGACTAATCACACACTGGCGTCCCTTTGCTTGATGCAGCCTGAATTGTGTTAGATTAGATGTGGACAAATGTGAGTCACCAGGTCTCGCCACCCAGACTTAAGTGTGTCAGATGTATACCCGTTACATTATGCAACGTATGGACGCGCAAAGGTCAGCAGGAGTAAATTTCGTCTGGAGTGAAAGATGAGACGGCTGTGAGTGTCTCTATAGAGGTAGCGAGTTGCAAAGCTCACATGAAAGGCAGCAAGTGGAAAAGGCAAAGTGATTGTGATTCCCTCCACTGCTGGATTTGCAGCACAAGAAGCTGCACAGCTGTATCCTGATATCTGGAGATATTTAGGTCAAGTGAAGAGGACTTGTGGGTTTGTCGTAAAAGTTGCATCACGCCTACTGTAGTGTGTCCTGCTGATGCATAGTTCATGACTCGCTGCACAACTGAAGATAATCGTGTTGCACGGTGGTGGATCTGAGCAGTTTAAACACAAGTCCCACGGTGTCTTTTCTTTCTCATTTGTCTGTGTGACAGGAGTATCCCACCCTAACCACCTTCTTTGCTGGTGAAATTATCAGCAGAAAGAGGCCTTTTTTAACTAGGAAGTGGGACGCAGATGAGGATGTGGACAGAAAGCACTGGGTATGTCCGGCACATCTTTCTTTTTTGTTTTTTTGACTGTTTTTGCCAGTAATGACGTTAATAATTAAGCAGCAACTAGTGAATTAAGAATTTGTTCAGTAAAGTATACATTCACCAACGATGTGCAAATTGTGTGACCTACTATTTGTGCACTCGTTGATTTAATAATGCAGACTACAGGATTTATATCATGACGTAGATTTTCTTAAGTAAAGAAGCTGCTTTGAGTTTAAAGAGACGTGTTAAGGACGTTTCAGTTCACCCAAACTGCACTGAGCACACGCAGCCTGCAGCTCTTCATATGACCAGTTTATTGACACTCTGTTCACTCATCTCTTCCAGATAAGCCTGTAAACTGTGTAGCACTCTGTTTGGGTTTATTCCTGCTGCTGTGAATGTTCAGATGGAGTTTATCAGCTCTGTCAAATCAAGAAACAATGGGATGCCGCCACATAATGATTATTCAGGATCACTTTAAGACTGGAGCCTTCAGGTTTACTGGTCGATCGGTTGGTTGGTTGATTGATTTGCTCCCAACCTGTGAGGATCAATTGTTTGTGTTTTTCCTCCTGGGAGGAACAGACTACCTCTGAATATGTCCACGTTTTCACAGTTTTGTACTCCAACCTAGTATGCAGTGCTGGGGCTAGATAATTTGATGTTTACTGAAACCTTATGCTTCATTGGTTCCATATTAATTGCTGTGGTGTGGCTGTATTTTGCTAAAAAAGGATGACCAAGAATTCAAAACTGTTTGAATAATACAGCCCAACGGCCAGTGTGGCATCTCATGTAGAAATGGTCGGCTAACAGTAGTTCTTGTGCTGGAAACACAAGTTGATGAAGATCAGATATCGTGTGAATATGCTGCAGGCCGGTCTGCTCCAGGTCAGCTGTTATCATTTCAGTATAGAACAATAAGGTCAGGATGATCTAATAAGCTGCTAATCACTGCCTTCCAGCAGGTCCAGTAAACTGAGTGAACCGTGGCCGATTTAGCTTATCTACAGATAATGTGCAGACGTTTTCTTCCTGTGACCGACTGACTGAATGAAAAGGAGGTAAGACTTCAGCTGACCTTGTTGTTCTCACCAGGGCAAGTTCCAGGCTTTTTACAAATACGCCAAAAACTTCAACTCTGACGACTTTGACTACGAAGCGCTGGAGAACAGTGATTATATCTTCATGAGGTGGAAGGTTGGTACATTATAAAACTGAAAGTTCTCTTCCCTGCGTTCGGCATCGAGCTCTCACCTCGGCTCTTCTTGCGCTTTCAGGAGCAGTTTCTAGTTCCGGACCACACGATCAAAGACATCAGCGGGGCCTCGTTTGCAGGCTTCTACTACATCTGCTTCCAGAAGTCCACGGCCACTATTGAGGGCTACTATTACCACAGGAGCTCAGAGTGGTAATTACCAGAACAGAAGAGACACTTATCACAAAGTTCTTTCATTTGCATTTGTGTACATGTGTAATAATTCTTTTTTGCCTCTGCAGGTACCAGTCTCTAAGCCTAAACCATCTTCGTGAGCACAGTATGCCTATTTATGAATTTCGATGACATAAAGACGCAGGAGCACCAAGTGAAGTGAGGGACGGTTCACGCTGCCCTGTGCTGGAATAGGATGGGAGCCCTTTAAAGAATGGAGCTGACCAGTTTCCTCACATCAGGGGGAATTAACCAGTGGTCAGGAACTCTTCTGCTGGACTGAAAGAAAGATGGCACTGATGAAGAAGAAGAGCGAGGAAGACAAAGATCAGTGAGACACCAACAGTTTCTGCAGAGCTGATGTTTGATTGACATTTTAATTTGTCCCTTTTTGGCCTGTTTTAATTTCTTTTTTGTTTTTGGCTAACTGATTTCTTTGCACTCTCACAGAATCTTCATGTCTTCACATTAAGACAAGTTTCTGTTTTCCTTCACTGGAGACACTAATTAACTTTCAGTTAAGAGCTGCAAAAAAAAAAAACAAGTGTTGGAGAATTTTGTTCAGCAAAGCCTGCGTTATTTGTCTTACGGTAATTATACAATCTTTTTTTTTGCAAGATCACTTTGACGCTCCGTAGTGATTAATGGTGAGTTTATTGCCAAACGTTGCAGCAGAAGCAGGGGTGAGCTGGAATCTACATTTTATGCAGGATTGTATATCGTGGTTATATGAGCAGGGATGGTGTGTCTGTCTGTTGTTTTGAGGAAAAAAGTATTGAGCAACTGAAACCCAACAGCTAACGGGGAAAGAAGGGGAAGTTTGTTTTTTCAGAAATCCTCTGAAAAATGCTGCAGAATATCTGCTGACGGCTTCACATCAAACGTTTATCTATGCAAGCCAAAGATCACTAACAGGTAGAATTCCTTCCAGTCCACCTAAACTTTTGTTTTCAGATGACTGAATTATTTATTTTCAATCAGGAGCGAAAAATTAAAAAAAAAAAAAAAGAAAAGACAATGACCAGCAACTGAAGCACAGATGTGTGTATCTGAAAATGTCTTTCCTGTTAAAATAGTTTGTCAAACTAGCAGAGAAGAGATTTGTGTCACGAGGAGGAACTGGAAAAGCTGAGATGTAATGCAACAGAAGCAATGCAGTGTTTTGAATGTGTGAACCTTCATACAGTCTGGTTTTTTTTCTCTCTCTCTGCTTTCAGTTTCAGTGTCTATTTTCCAGCAGCACGATTTAACACTTAGAGCTTCAAGTGTTGCTTCCTGGGTGGAGAATATTCAGTTTGACTTGTGGAGCGTTGCATGAAGAAGTGATGGAGACAGAATAAAACCTCCTTTGATGCTTTAGGAACAACCTGCTGCCTTACACTTTTACATGTTTCTATTGTATGCTTTTTTTTTTTCTTTTTAAGACAAATGATTAGGTTAGTTTTGTCTTATTTGAAAGAAATCCTAAAATTTCTGTGAGACAAATTGTTAAAACAAACAAACCTGACAGTTTTTCATCAGCTTCATAGGATTCTTAAAGTTTTTCCAAGTAGGGTTGATGTAAAAGTTCTCTGCTGGAGAGTGCATGTCCTCCCTCTGCCCGTCTGCTGCTTCTAGACGTTCAGCTGGTCGCCTGCAACGTGCCAACTGGATTTGACGGGTCGCTGCGGAAATACAGTTGGCACTGTAGTTTTTAAACCCGAGCGAGTGGATTGCAGACGCTACAATCCTTCAAAATCACTTTCTTTTTTTATTAATCGTCGAACAGAAAACCGCCAAATGTGCAATGTAAGAAGAAAAATGTTAATTTGGGTGTTTGTCTTAAGTCTTGAGTGAGGAAATCTGACTTAAAGAGGTCAGTTTAAGGGAGATGATGTATTATTATTCTGATATGGGGAAAAATAAAGATGAATATTTCATACTTGTCTGTATTCTTGGCAGTGTTCCTGCGGTCCTGAGAGTCGGTGCACTGATTCAGCTCAGACATCACTGCAGCTGGCACTAGATGTCAGTAGAGGACCATGAAAAGTCCTTTGCATGGTCTCAGTTAAAGGATTCTGCTGTGGCTCTATTTATAATGTAATGAACAGCACCTGAGAGTCCAGCTTTGTGTTGCCTCCAACACACAGGAGGCGCTGACACACGACACACTGCCTGGTTTGCATCAATAAATCCACACTTAGGTCTCGTAAAACGGTCGCAGCATGTTTCCAATAAATCTCTGGTTCATTTATCAGATCAGATTAAACACAGTCTACAAGCTGTGGTCAATAGTTCGGTGGCAGTTTTATCAAGTCAAGTGTTTTATTCATGCTTTTGGTGCTGGAGGTTGGTGGAGGAAGCACTGACAGCTAAAGCTAAGGAACACTGTGATCGTACGCTGTTAGAAGTAAAAGTCATTGCAAATTGGAAAACTGCATTGAAAACTTTATCTAAATAAACATATTGTCATTAAAAGGTACTTCCAATAGAAAATGACTCACTGCACTAGAAAAGTTACTGTTAAACCTTTATACATTATGGTTATAATATATAATGCATAAATGTAAATATCAATATATCAGCACCCTCAATAGTCACTAACACGACAGTTTTATGGTTCCTATTTAAATTTAACTTTAATTCTTCACATTATTTTTTGCTTCTGCTTTGCACTATAACAGTTATATTTATTTTTAGCATTTATTTTTATTTTTATCTTGTACATTGTACCTTACTCTATATTTATTGTTGCACCAACCAACCAGAGCAAATTCCTTGTATTGTGTAAACTACGCCTGGCAATAAATCTGTTTCTGATCCTGATTATATCAGTAGGTTTAAACCTTAAAAGCAGGACTTCACTGTTGTAGCTGGAGCTCGTTTTCAGTTATTTTGTATTGTAATGGTCATTTTCAACATGAATTAATCTGATTTGTCAGCTGACTAACTGATTAATCATCTAATTATATCAGCTGTACACGTAGAAACTGTTTAATTTAGAACAGAACAGTTCTGAACGTGTCATAAAAACTCTTAAATGTAGTGAAGTAAAAGTATTTCCCTCTAACAGGTGCCTTAAACGTGTACTTTAGTCCTACTGCCTGGTTTCCAGCAGCTCGGTTCGCTGTACGTGCTGCAGCTGAGAGTACGTGACTGGATGAAGGGTGGAGGAAACGTCTATTCCAATGAACCACCTGGAAAGAAATGTGAAATGTAAGATGTGCAACAACTTCCTGGTCTGGCTTTAACAATGTTGGCTGTGATCGTATCTGCAGCGGTGACTTACTGCCTGCAAGCTAAAGAAACTAATTACGAGACGTCGTTCTTAATATAGTTTGCTGATGATATTTAAACATGCTGCTTTTCACAACACACTTACAAAGTCCATGGATAACAACAATAATTACATTTTAGCATTAAAATATCATTTGGGTTAAAGAGCTTCTACATACTGGTGTAGTAACCACTACAGAGACACAAGAGATGATTCAGGGAATGACCAGAGATGTTAGTAAGTGAACCTGACACTGGGTGGAGGTCTGATGCATTTGTTAAGCACTGTACACGACTTTATCTCAGAGTCAAGGCTGTGCAGATAAGAATTATTCAGTTCTGTAGGTGTTTGTGATGTCTCACATCAAACTCACCAGTGTTGGTTTTTTGGAGTGTTTTTTCTTCCTGCTATCCATGTGTGACACTGTCCCCCTCAGGACGCACTAGCAGGTGTTTAATCTGGCTCAGCGCAGTGCAAAGACACATTCTTTGAACTGTCAATCAGACGTCATCAATCAGACTGGACTGTCACAATCAGCTTCACAGTGACAAAGCTCCATTCCCAAACCTGAGTCCTGATTTAACCCATTCAGCCCTGAGCTATTTCTCAGGCCTCTGCTCAAAAATGACATCCCATAATAACCAGAGTTTACCTCTGCAACCACAAGGTCTATTTAAATAATTCTTGTGTCTTAATAAAAGGAACACTTGTAGGTTTGTTCAGATGTGTAAATATCAGTTTATATGTTCCTGGTTCAGAGTGAATGAAGACGGCACACAGCACAGAGGAAACATGTTCAGGTTCACCTAAAAGAAAGAAGCCCTTTGAGGATGCTGATCTCTTTGTACTGATCCAGCTGCAGCTCTGAACCTCTCCCAGATCACAGACAACATGTGAACATTGTGACTCTGATAAAGTGAAGCAGAACAACATCAGAGAGTTTTTAGTCCAGACGGTTCAGGCGAGCTCTCATTCTGGCTCACTGGTGACCATCTGAATGTTCTCATGTACAAACTATATATTCCACTATTATATCACTGATGGGGTTCAATACATCCACATACAGCAGCTCTTTAGTTTCCTGAACATCCAACCAGACCGCTGTCTGTGTTCCGCGTCCTGATGCTGCTCAGACTGCTGTGGAGCTCCTGTGGTGACGTAAGGATGTATCTCCATCATGATGGATTGATTTCAGTGATTGATACCGCCTTCGAATCGCTAGAGCCAATAGAATACAGCGACAGCCACCAAAAGGAGATTGACAGCACTGTTAGCCATTCAGAACCAGCAGAATGCCATCTTGAAGAAGAGCCGCTTGCTGAGCGAGTGTTCACTTCATAGATATATTATAAAGGCCAGATGTCTCGTCCACGCTGTCGGCAAATGGAATCGCACGGCCACACTGGCGGCCATCTTGATTCGGTCGCTCATCCATAACATTGTGTTGTAGTGGTGCATGTACTTTACAAATAACCATAACTTGCTCAGTTTTCTACCGATTTTCAAACGGGTTGGTTTGTTATAAGCATCAGAGGTGTAGTTATAACTCTGCACTGATGGATAGTTATGTTGCACTCTCACGGCCAGCAGCAATTAGCATTTTAGTAATTTTGCATTTTATTTGTATTTTTGTCATTTGAATTGTAGCCACGTTAATAATGTTTGTAAGAAACCAAAACGTTTGTAAATCCGTCAAGATTTCAGCGAGATCAGAGTATTTACATTTGTGCAGATCACTCACCTTCCTTCACCTACCTCAGGTTCTGCCACAGAGCTTCCCCGAATCAAGATGGCCGCCGGTGATCCCGTTTGAGACTCCGCCTTAACACATCTAGCCTTCATATGTATATTATTACACTCCTACATATATTCACTCCTTGGCTCCCTGAGGCCATAGACTGTATAAAAGATGGACGTAGCTACCGTGACGTCACCCGTTGGTTTCTGCTCTGAGAACATGAAGCCAGGGTTTTGCTACTTCCTGGTTGACATCTTGGATTTTTGGAGCCAGTGACGTAAAAATCGTCGGAGGGGGGCGGAGCCATAGGAGCAGCGATTGGTCAGACGGATTGAGAGGCGGGCCATCTCTGCCCGCCCACATTTACCGCCTTCTGCTCGCTTCGTCTGTATGGTCGCTGCCGACTGTCAATCAAACCAGTCACGCCCCTTGCCCCGCAACATGTTGATGATTTTTTTAAAATTCTGTATTGATTTATTTTCAGATTGGCCACCTGATCTCTGGATCTGACCATGAAAACTAATAAGAAAACAATCCTGAGCTGTAGGAATGCAGTGTTTGGTGATCTGTGATCACTTCTTTTCCAGTTCCAGTCTATGGGAGCCAGGGCTTTGTGGAGCCAGCAGCTAGTGGACGTAGTGATGCTGCAGGTTTCTGACACTTCCGGGTTGGCTTCATTTTTCAGGGCCGGTTGCTACGTCCATCTTTATACAGTCTATGCCTGAGGCTAACGGAGCTTCCAGAAGACGCCCGGAGTGATTTCAGTGTAACACAGGAAGTAGCGCTAACTGGCTCCGGTTTGGATTTAACGACAAAATAAGTTTGTCGCGGCTCAACAGCGAAGGTAAGAGACACGTTCCAGCTCCAGTGTGATGAAGCGGTTTGGGTTTGTGCTGTTCTTTGGGTTGTTTCTCGCTGATGCTTTGATCTCAGAGAGCTTTGATGGACATGTCTGGACTCTGTGGACCGTCTGCTTTGGTCTGAGGCCTGTTGGAGCGTTTAGCATAAAGTACCAAAGCGCTGGAGACAGAAATGTGGCGAGTGGGTTGACGTGGTGGCGCTATGTCCATGTCCATGTGTGATAATTCATGTAGTTAGTGTTTGAGTTGTGACATGTCTGATATGTTCTGGTAGCCCAGGTTCTGCTGTTTCATGTGCAGCATCACTGTGTTCTTTCATGATGAGTACTTTGTTTCACATTAGTTCTTTTTGTGAAGCCCGAGAGGCCCCCCGGACTTAAGGGTTAAAGTAAATATGGAACCTGTTTGTGGCCTTTACTTCCAGCTATCATGTTACGGTTTAGGAGCAGTTCAGGAATTCACAGCAAGTAGAGCGTCTCAGATTTTCCACCTGTGGCTGTCTGAGTCACAGCCACACCTCCTCAGGTGGAGGGACTATAAGTTCACCTGCAGAGCGCCACCGCTTCAGTCCCAAACAGGTCGAGGCTGAGCTTGTTCCAGTCTGTCCAGCCTTCAGTCATGGAGCCGGAGCGGTATCCCATCAGCGTCCGTCTAGTTGGAGTGATGCACAACGACAAGAGCAAAGTAGGTGTAGAGGGAGATTTTCCAAAGAGCACCTGATTTTAAAGAGAGTTTCTTCCTGTGTGCAAAGAGATTAAATCTGAATGTTCCTCTTCCAGCTGTACGTGACCTCCGTGCTCTGGTCCGACCAGAGCGACATTGTAGTTTACAGGAGTTTTGGGGAGTTCAAGAAAATGCATGTGAGTATAAACTACTACACCTCACATGTGCTTCATACTTGTGGCTTTTGGCTTTTAACAACACGCGTGTTACTCAAATTACAGAGACAAATGAAGAAAGCGTTTCCACCCGCTAGTAAACTAAAGAAGTCGGACAGAATCATCCCCAGGTTTCAAGGTACATGTGCATCATTTATGTTAAGTGAATCTAAGCGTCCAGTTGCAGACAGATGGGGGTGTAACTGAAGGTGTCCTCGGTGCTTTCAGATAACAAGATGAGGCAGAAGAGTCGGAGGATGGGTCCCAACAAGGCAGTGGTGCGCCTCAAGTTTCTGCAGAAATATTGCAATGAACTTCTGAGCTGCGGCCCACGAGTCAGCCAGTCTGCACACCTCATCCAGTTCTTCCGCCCTAAAGACCAGGACCTGCGGCCAGAGTTTTCCAAGAACAGGTCGGCTAAGCATCTGTTTACAACAAATAAAACGACGTATTTTAAACTTCTGCACCTGTAGGAGGAGTGAGCAGAGACATTTTCAAATTGTAATTTTAGTCAAAAATGGACCCAAAATATCCTGAATCATGAGGGAGATACAAACACTGCAGCTTCTTCTACTCCTGTGTTTATTTAAATCAGAGGTTGTTTTTCACATAAAGTTGTACGTTTGGTATGATTCCTAGTTTCAAAGGTCACAACATAACCAAGAGAGACTGCAAAAATCAAAGAGTTCAGCACCACAAAGATGTCCAAGAACTGAAAAATGTACAACCTTATGAAAGGCAGCCAACATACAGCGTTCAGACATGATCAGGGAAGTGCAACTCTGCAAGAACATAGATGAAGAAATCCAAAACTCTTCTCTCCAGACGGGCGGGAACCCCAGTGTTTGTTGCACAACACACTGGGGATGGAGTCGAAGATTAGTCCATGAGTTTGCACAATCTGTTTTTCTGGAGTGTGTTTACGTCTGCGTCTCTTTCCTCAGCATCATGGTCATGCCCCCAGAAGATGACATGAGGAGCGACGTGGGACCGGGCGGCGGCAACGTGACCCAGCCCTTTGTCACCGAGACGTACAGGTGTGTGGCTCCGTACGAGACCAAAGACACCAAGAACAAAGCTTTCAAAGTGGGCCTGGATGAAAAAGTGGACGTTCTCATCAAAGACCAAGCAGGTGAGCAAACAGCGTCTGGTTACTGGTTGGAAAAGCCCCAAACATGCTCTGTTGGACCAGTTTCATGTGTGTTTGTGTCGGTGCAGGATGGTGGCTGGTGGAGAATGAAGCCAAGCAGATGGCCTGGTTTCCTGCTCCCTACCTGGAGAGGCTGGACAATGGTGACGATGAAGATGAGATAGACGGCAGTTCTGACAGAGGTAGTGTTTGGTTGTGCCTCGGATTATTTGCCCACCTGTGAGGTGACAGCATATAAACGATTCTTTATTTCACCCCTAGGAGAGCTCTACACTGCAGTTAGGACCTACAAGGCCACCAAAGGCGATGAGATAACCGTGACCATCGGAGCAACGGTGGAGGTCCTGCAGAAGTCTGACAACGGCTGGTGGCTCATCAGGTATTCAAGCGTCTGACTCAAACATCAGCACACCCTATTAACGATTGTTCAACAATGAAAACCCAAGGATGGAGCCACATGCACCCCTGTGACTGTCTGAAATCCAGATAAACAGGATTGTTGAGAATACAATGATGAGTTTTTGATGGGATAACAAAAACTGACCTCAATAGTCAGGCAGAGATCTACAGTGGCCTTTGCATTAGTCAGGCCAGATGACGCCAGCAGGATGAGTCATCTGTTGTTACAAGTACTGAGAACAAACCACAGACACGACAATGCTGGATTTACAGCCATGTGGAGGAAACTTCTTGACATCATAAATAAGAGCCAGAAATCGCTGTAACACAAAATAGTGTAGCGTGGAGGGCGGCAGGTTGATTTATTTTAAAGCATCTGGTACCTGCAGGTGAAAACAAAGTGAAAGGTTTGGCTTAAATACAGATAAACTGCCGTTGTTTATCCAAAATTACCCTTAAACTCTCGCATCAGAGGGATTAAATATTGGTAAAGTAACAGTTAAGGCGGAGTGTGTGTTAACGTGTACGCTGATAAATTCAATGAAGTGCAACATGATTTAAGATTTTGTGGCCACAGAACAACTTTTTTGACTTTTTCTAATTATCTATTGTTTTTAAAGAATTGAATTGTTCTTTTCTAATGTCTTGTTATTTCACATGGAGAACAGTCACGTTGCATTTCACTGGAAGCTAACACTCCTTGGCATCGCACCACTGAACTCTCAAATGTGCATTCACCTTTGTGCTTAGGCTTTCTGCTCTGTTGTGATGTCTGTCTCCTTATCACTGTCAGTGGTCACTGATCACTTCCTGCATTTTCATTCCCCTGAGGAACAGCAGCTCTTCTGTTTGTCGTCACGTCACACTGATGTGCAGTCATGACGTGTGCTGCCGACCAGTAAAACTAGATTCAGATGTCCCTTTAGTCACCCGCTGAAGCTCCTGCCTTCTGTGCCCCAACACTGAACCCGATTCTAAAGTCACATAGAACTTTTCCTCTTTCCATCTTTGTGTAAACTCAGAACCAGCTGGGCTTCTTTAGCGTTTTCACACATGCAGCAGAGCAACGCTGACTGATTCAATATAAGATGCATCGTTGTGGAAGCATCTGTGTTTATTGTTCCTCTGCTCATTTATTCAGGTTTAAATTGCCGCTGTCTGTGTGGATAGACTTAAAGGAACAAACTCTATTTTGGGAGTTCCAGGTTTACACCAGCGCCTGTTCTCACCCCTCCTCTCTTGTCTTTTGACAGATACGGTGGTAAAGCAGGCTACATCCCCACCATGTACCTGCAGCCCTACCGCCGCCCCCACATCCACATGCTGTCCCCCCCTGGCCTAGAGCAGCACTCCCAGCTGAGCCGCTCCCACGGAAACCTGCTGCAGCTTCCCCCTACCAGGTCCTCCACGCCTCTCTCGATCCAATCAGACAGCCGGCACAAGTCCAGGTCTCTTAGCGTTTTAAACGAACCGCCTCCTGCGCCGGTTTCAACCATCAGAGCTGCTGCAAACCCCGGAGCCGCCTCTGCAAGCTACGCTCCTCCACCCACGATCACAGTGGAGATGGAAGGAGAGGAGAGGCCCAGGAGCCTGAGTGCAGCCAGCCGGGGCAGCTTCGAGAGCGACAGCACTGACTTCAGCCTCAGCGATGACCTCAGCTCCTCCTCTGCGAGCTCCACCTTCAACCTGAGCCCGAGCTCCAACGCCGAGCAGCTGCGTCTCAGCCGGACGCCTCCACCGATGCCCAGGAACCGCCTCAGCCTAATAAACACTGCGGAGGGGAAACTAATCGCCAGCGTCTCCGACCCGAACCTCTACAGAGGCCCCGCGATGCCCAAGGTGCCTCCTAGACCTCAGGCCCAGGAGATCCTCAAACGCTGCACCACCGTCACCCGCAAGAACGCAGCCAAGGGCGGCCCGTCACCCACACAGGCCGAAATAATCAGCCGGTGAAGCATCACGATGGCTTTATTTGTATTATTTAACAATCTTTTTTACTCTGTGGGCAAAGAAAGGCATTAGGAGACTCTGACCTTTAGAGGTCCTTGTACTCTAACAAAGCCGCCATAAGTCACCTCTTCACTGCTGGTTTTATTTTCCATACTGGAAACCTTGTGCTGCGTCTTATATGCATTTAGACTGTTACAAGTGCACAGAGACGGATTCTTTTGTTCTTTTAAATGTAGAAAAATGTTTGTCTGAACTTAAAGCATGTGCAGGCTGATCAGGTCACGCCAACACCTCGCTGTTGACGTTGATGCTGAATGAACTCCATGTGTAGATGTATTCATGTAACCGAGAAGCTGAGAACAAATAAAAGTATACTAGAAAACTTTTTTTGCACCTAAATCTTATTCAACACGCCCAAGTCGAGAAAAATAAAGCAGCAATTTAGTTTCTACTGTTTTCCGAACTAGTTGTAAAGGACAGATTCATGAAGACACACTTTGATCGTATATTTTAGAAGAAGAACCTAAACCAGTGTAGAAATGCTCCGTTTTAAGGAATCCCTTCATTTAAATTCATACTTAAGTAAAAATGCACCGACAGGACAAAAGCACTCATTATGCAGACTGACATGTTCCAGGATGCTGTGTGCTACTGAATGACTTATTGTGTTCAGGTTCTTCAGTGCTGGAGCTGCTAACAGTGATTGAACTCCTTTAACTGCTGGGTCGCTTATTGACCCGTATGAACCTACATACAGGTGAAAGCAGAAGTTCACATACGCTGTATAAAAAAACATAAAACCTTTTATTTCTCACTGTCTGGCATTAAGTGTGACTAAACTGTTCCTGTTTCAGGTCAGTCAGGATCACCAACATTATGTCTATCTGCCAGAATAATCCATCCATCATCTACACACCGCTTAATCCTCACTAGGGTCATGGGGGGCGGAGCCTATCCCAGCTGACTCAGGGTGAAGGCAGGTTCACCTGGACAGGTAACCAGTCTATCACAGGGCTACACTTAGAGACAGACAACCAAGCACACTCACATTCACACCTACGGACAATTTACAATCACCAATTAACCTCAGCATGTTTCTGGACTGTGGGAGGAAGCCGGAGAACCCGGAGAGAACCCACGCTGCACGTTTAGTCTGATTTAAAGTCAGACAGTGAGAACAAATAGTTTTATGTCTTTTTATACAGTGGATGTTAACGTCTGGTTTCAACCGTACATTACACATTACATTGTTTATTTGTTTACTATAGTTTGCATAAACAAAATAAATTTGCAAATTATCTCTGGTTGTTGAATAAATGTAGTGGAGGAAACTAAAGTTCCATCTTAACATGTTTGTGCAGTTGAAGTAGCAGGAAACACTCAAAGTTCAAGTAGCTTCAAATCCTACTTAAATACAGAACTTATTTTACACCACTGGTTCAAACTGCAGCAGAACTACTGCACTGCTCTAAGAGTTTTTCTTTTTTAAATATTAATTTCCCAGTTAATTTAAAAAAAGTATTCGATAAACCATTCGCTCTATAAAATGCCAAATTACCCACAACACAAAACTACTCACATTCTAAGCACATGAGACAGGGAAGGCTGCCAGCTCTCTGAGGGAGCAGACGACACTGACGAAGTAATGATTCATTTAATTGAAGATGGGAACAGCTGATTAATTTTTTTGTCAGTCGATTAACTGTTTCAACGCGTTTAACGAGAGATGAATGTTTAAAGGCAGAAAAACTGGCTGAGTTTTCTCACAACCCTCAGATACGAATATCCAAACTGCAAACGGCAAAGACTGGCATCATCTCCCAGAAAGTCTGTGATCGAGACTCCTTTCGTGCAACCGTTCATTTACTACAGTTGAGCTGAGAAGCACAACAGGAGCTTCACCAACATATGAGGAAACCAAAACCTCATGTCAACGCAAAGCAACTGAGTTCTTTCAGGCAGCAACTTAACATGTGAGCAGGTTCTAAAGGAGCCTCTTTGGACATTTCAGAATATAATATTATTATTTTTTAAAAATGCAACTCCTGTCAAACCTCAGGCATTTTTCTTTAATTCTTATAAACATTTGTGGTCATGACATAAAAAAACACGGTTATATGAGGAAGCTTTGAGGTTGCACAAGGTAGCTGGTCGAACCAGTGGATCAGGTTCAGGAGGATGTGATAGCTCCGTCTGGAGCAGTTCAGTCTCATCCCCAGAGGTCGATGCACAGTCTGGTTTAGATTTGAAGTCTGGTGAGCAGTGGGATTGTTTCTGCCTGTTTCTCTGCACTGCCCACGTTCTGATCAGCCAACAGTCCCAGACAAGGAAGCTTCTTGCTGATCCTTGTCAGCTGGCTAAACTCGGGCATTGTGCAGCAGAACAAGAAACAGGAAGACATTTCTTCACCGTCGTTTCTTCCTCCTCGTCTTCTTCCTCCTCTGAACTCTCCTCGCTGTCAGACCGATGGTCCCCGTTGGTCTGAGAGCTCGTCCCGTTTTGAGCTTTGCTGGAGGCTTTCTTGGTGACGCTGACCTCATCAGCCTCATCTTCTCTGAGGCCGTTTGGATCTTCGTCTTCTCCGCTGTCGCTGCCATCGTCTCGTCTCTCATCGCCGCTGCCTTTTGCTTCCTCCTTGTCGATTACAAAGAAAGGCTGTGCCAGAGGAGTAGTATCCATTTCTTCATCCTGGTCAACGCTGGACAGGACATACACAAAAATGATCACGTTAACACTTAAACACAGTACGTTTAATTTACAGCGTGTTGCTTGGATCACTTTCACCTGCTTCAGCAGCCAAAACACTCAAAGCTTCATAGATTATATTTCAAATATATTATATTTGAATGAGCAGGACAACGTGACATTTTGACATTTAAACACTTTTGTGGTCCAAAACTCAAGAAAATCCCCAAAACAAAGAAATAAGTTATTTTAAGACATGCTCCTGCAAAATGAAGACGTTTAAATCTTCATCACCTTCTTCTTAGTTCGTAATAAACCAAATCAACCATTTATCAAGCTGCTGTGATCACTGAAATATTTTGTACAACGACGTACAAAGTCACTGTTAAATCAACAGAACCGCTGCCTTGCTACAGGTTCTGATGTCAGCTGGTCTTCAGGTGCAACATTTAGAACAAAAGCAGATTGTTTGCTTCGATTTCTTCACAAAGAAGGAAGTGTTTTTAAAAAGACAACAGAGAGGAGCTGCAGGACAAACGCGTCGTCTTCATCCGATACCACAATTCATTCAGCCGCATTCATTTACTTTGTGATGCAGAAAACTGCTCCAAAGCAAACACTCCACCCGTGAAACTGAACACAGTGTTTGTGTTGCGGTGCAGCTTCCATGAAGTCATCAGTCACGTTTGACCCACATACGAGCAGGAAATACAGAAATCTAATGAACACAACATCAGCGCGCGGATTCTGACGGTGAACACGGCGACGTCTGGCCTCAGCCCAACGTCCACACTCACAGGTGCACTCATCTGAGTCTGAGAAATCATCTGGTGCAAGACGGCTCTTGCAGACATTCTTAAGGCCTTTATGTGCACTTTCTCTACGTCTGCGTTACGTAAAAGAAGGAGCAGATAAGTCCGATAACAAAAGAAGTTTGCATGTAAACGCACAGCTCGCTGAACTGTGTGTAGTCGTCTGACCTCTGGTGACAAATCTTCTGAAGCTTAGGAGCTTTGGATCATGAAGTCAGTGAGAAACGTCGTAAAGTCTTTTCCTAGTTCTGTCTCCATTCACCTCACACCACAGACCAGGTGAGGTTCGGTGTGAGGGTTTGGTGCTCAGGTCTCAGTTTGGACAGTAAGACAGTAAGTGAGGCACATAAAGACTCGCACGAGTTCAGATAAACGGGCTGAGACTGAGGAAAAATGTCTAGTTCTACTATAAACGACAAACGAGGCACTTGGTTTGTTGTTAATTCGACCGACAACTTTCACATCAGTCTCAACCAGGGACCTCCAGCTCCGGTCCTCGTGAGCTCCTGTCCTGCAGGTTTTAGATGTTTCCGTACTGCTACACCCCTGACTCACATGAATGGATCACTAACAGACTTGTGTAGAACTTGACAACAAGCTGCTGCAGATCCATTAGCAGTACGGAAACGTCTAAAACCTGCAGGACAGGAGCTCACCAGGACCGGAGCTGGAGGTCCCTGGTCTAAACTGAATGAACCAAAAGGAGAAGGCGCCAGAGTTGGCTAAAATCAGACCCAACAGGTCGGTTCTCTCACCCAGAAGCTGCTCCAGCGACTCTCATTTTCTGCCACATGTAGTTCAGGAACATGGACGCCTGCAGCAGACGGCCGATCCGCTGCATGTGCCTCTCTGAGGGAGAGACGAGACAAATAAAGAGTTTACAAAATGGGCAAAGTTTTAATGAATAATCAGAGTTATTGATTTGTTTCTTGTCATTTTTGCATCCACTTGACTGGTGAAAAGATGCCTCCTTGTGTCGTGTATTTTGAGAGGAAAGGAATAAAGTCTTGAGCCTAAACTTGTGGACTGTACGGTGAATTCTGTGATTCTAAAGAAAGATTGTTGATAATAAGCTCATTTCTTAAGCATGTACCAGATCCACTGCCCCCGTCCTCTGTCCAGTGCACGAGTACCAACATAAACGCACCCAGGACACGTTTTGTTTGTCTTTCATTTGAAGAGCCCAAAGCTCTCTGGAACGTCCTCATTCATGGGTGTGCACTGTCGTACTTTTCTCGTTTCGCTGGAACTTAACACACCTACACATGTGGACAAAATAGTTGGAACCCCTCGTTAATGAAAGAAAAACCCACAACGGTCACAGAAACAACTTGAATCTGACCAAAGTAATAATAAATAAAAATTCTATGAAAATGAACCAATGGAAATCAGAC